TTTTCAGTAGTGTATAATCATCTTAAAATAAGAATGAGTGCAGTGGGTCGCCTTCCATGGAGTCTTTGATGTTTAACCGCCATGTTTCTACTGTAGCCTTGCACCTGCCGTCAGTGTATAAATGTGACATGTAATGTAAAACGCCTTGAGTGGTTGGAAGACTAGAAAGATGCTATGTAAGTACAGGTCCATTTACCATCTTGACCTCCGTAAATAAACCTTTTCATATCTTCTAACTGTTGACCCTTTGCCTCTGTGTTTCACAGCACTGGATGCCCGGCTAGAAGTGGGTCTGGAGCAACAGGCTGAACTGATGCTCAAAATGATGGCGACTCTACAGGCCGACTCCATCCTACAGGCCCTCACATCAAGCTCATCTACAGGTAACAACAGCTAAGAGAGCCGGCCATTTTAATAACAACTGCTCCTCAGTAATTGACTTTAAGTGCTCGACAACCTCAAGAAAAATCATTCTTTTGTGTGCCTCAGTCTCTGTTGGAGCTTGTTTTGACAGTATCATGAAGTAAGATGTGTTTGTTGCCTGGCTTTCAGTGAGCCAGGCCTCCAGTGGGACTGATGACTCCCTGCTGAGGGCTCTCCACGGAGGAGGCTCTCCTCCAGGCAGCAGTCTGATGGTCCAGCCCTCGTCTGTCCCCATGTTGAGTGCCTGCTTCAACAAGCTCTTCTCCATGCTGCAGGTCCACCATGTACAGGTCAGCACACGCAAGTACAAATATAGAACACTAAATACTTGATGACTGACTGCAGTCTTCAATGGAGGCACCTACTAATGCCTTAACTGTGTGGATAGATCTTTACCCATTTCTTTTTCAGTCCGTTCAATGTTTCACATTGCCTAGTGAGAGCCTAGCTATAGTATATATATATACTGCTTTTGAAATGAAATATGTAATTACTATTTATTATATGTCATCTGCATTTTTGTTTAGTAGTTCCAATACCAATAGTATTGTGAAGTCCTCCTATACTGCCTAAAATTCAGTATCGGGTTGTTACAAAAATTGCTTGTTGAGGTTGCACAAAAGTGGTACATTAATGCCATGTGCTTCCAAAGTCTTCCAGAATTCCACATTTCCTTAGGACACATTGTAAAATCAACATGGTGTCATTTTAAATGAATGAAAAGGCGTTTCTTCTCTCTCAGCTGGAGTCCCTGCTGCAGCTGTGGTTAACACTCAGTCTCAACACATGTTCTGGTGGCACTGAAGAAAGTGGATCAGACATCTTCCTGTTCAATGCCAGCCGAGTGCCCACCATCCCGCTCAACCAAGGTCAGGACTCTGCCACGCTGTTTCTACCGCTCAACATCTCTGATAGTGCTGTTACCTTCCTATACACTGGCTAGTTTTTTAAATCGTATTCTTATTAAATATGTATTATATTCTGTGTTTGTGTTCAGCATCCATCAGCAGTTTCCTAACAGTGCTGGCGTGGTACCCCAACACCTCCCTGAGAACGTGGTGTCTGGTGCTGCACTCTCTCACCCTGATGACTAACATGCCAGCCTGCGGTCAGTCCACTCCACTCTTACTGGTTTCTTTCTGTCAGCAGCACCTCTGAAAAGGCTTAAAAGTCACATAGTCATAGTCTCAGTCTTTTTAGTGGATGAGTCATTGTGTCTACATTGGTTGATCAGCCTTTGAATAGATTCTACAACACAACAAAATGTTTAAGTGATCTGAATACTTAATGTCTCTATACAGAGATATACCTCGGTACACTCTTTTGACTTCCATTTTTGTACAGTATGTTTTTCTGCTCTCATAATTCTATATTTGATAGTTATCAGTTGCCTGGTGTTCAGTGATTTATATAAAACATGTGTTTGAACTTTCAGCCTCCAGCAATGGGATGAGCTCCCAGGAAAGCACCGCTCAACAGATGGTGTCTGATCCAACCCTGGTTCACGTCCTGGTCCGCTTCCTGTCCGGCAGCAGCACCAATGGCACGAGCCAGCACAGCTCTCAGGTGGGACCCACCGCCACCCAGGCCATGCACGAGTTTTTGGGCCGGCTGCAGGTCCACCTGTCCTCTACCTGTCCGCAGATGTTCAGCGAGTTCCTGCTCAAACTGATGCACATCCTGTCTACTGAGAGGTATACAGTCGCTTCCCAGGAAGTGTATTTTCTATCAATAATTTTTGTATGTTCCAGCATAGGCAGTCATTCTGACAATAATCATGAGAAATTTCACTGAGTGTGGTCTTTGGGGACTGATGTTTTATACTACTTTAGGGGTCCGTTCCAGTCAGGCCAGGGTCCGCTTGACGCCCAGGTGAAGCTGTTGGAGTTTACTTTAGAACAAAACTTTGAGGTGGTGTCAGTGGCCACCATCTCCTCAGTCATCGAGTCCATCACATTCTTGGTCCACCACTACATCACCTGCTCCGATAAACTCGTTTCCCGCAGTGGCTCAGACAGCTCCGTGGCAGCTCGGGCATGTTTTGGTGGTCTGTTTGCCAACATCATCCGACCAGGAGATGCAAAGGCTGTCTGTGGAGAGACAACTCGTGACCAGCTGATGTTTGACCTCCTCAAGCTTGTCAACGTGCTGGTGCAGCTGCCTCTGTCTGGGGACAGAGAGTTCAGTGGACGGCTGCCGCCGGCCGGCAGTGGGGCAGCTGATAGTAGTGTGTCGGACGAGGAGAAGGTCTGTGGGAACAAAGAAAGCGTGGCTGGTGGATTGGCATCCAGTCAGGGTCCTCCTGCAGGTGTGGCTGACCTCGTGTTGGCAAATCAGCAAATTATGAGCCAGATCTTGTCTGCTCTGGGCCAGTGCAACAGCAGTGCTATGGCCATGATCATAGGTAAGATAAACCCAGAAAGAAATACTGCAGTTCCCGTCTAACAAGAGTTTCAGCATCTTCACCTCCTTTGGCTTTATCACCCGCAACATTATTGTTTCGGTCGACTCTCATTAACATCATTTCCAGCAGATGATAGACCCACTGTAACTGGTGAACCTAGTGGAGCATTTAGCAGCTAAAGAGAGAGATATTTATCCACATATTCATCAGGTGGACAAATAAATGCTAAAGTAGAGTTAGTCTTGAGTTATAAATGATACAATTTCACTTGTGGACAACTATTCCCCTAATGAACCAGACAACACAAAGAATCAAATATCAGGAGGATAAATGTGTATTGCTTCTTAGGAGCCAGTGGTCTCCACCTGACAAAACATGAGAATTTCCATGGCGGTCTGGATGCCATCTCAGTGGGGGACGGCCTCTTCACCATCCTCACCACCCTCAGCAAGAGGGCCACCTCAGTCCAGGTCATGTTACAGCCCATCCTCACATACATGGCCTGTGGTTACATGGGCAGACAGGTGAGCTTCAGACAGACAGGTGTATGGTGTTTGATATTAAAGTATGTACACTGCCAAAACTTGAATATATGTAATTTATTTTACATTTTGTAGGGGTCTCTTTCCACCTGTCAGCTGTCGGAGCCTCTTCTGTGGTTCATCCTGCGAGTGTTGGACACCAGTGAGGCTCTCAAGGCCTTCCATGACATGGGTGTGTATATGCTGAACACATTTTGATTCCTTAACCAACTTTACATACCCTACTTTACGTACCCCAACCTTCATACTAAAAGTGCTTTTAGACTGTGACAACAACAATGGTGTCTTTGTTTATTGTGTGTCATGCTGTGCAAGAAGGATATCAATTTGAGGCACATCAGATTGTGCCATAAATGTTTTACAAATTTACAAATTTACAAATTACGGACATGGCAGATTTGCACAGGATTAAGATCACAGACGACCTCCTCAATCTACAGATCCCTGGGAAATTCTAGTTCGGTACAAATAATCTCTATTCTGGTTGTCTTTGGTCACCAAAGCTTTAAATCAACTCTGAGTGGACGTGTCTCGTGATCTGTGACTATAGTTTTGGATTGACTCAGAATTGTCAACTTTCATGTTGGACAGGCCAATTTTGCAGTGTGGAGAGCTGTGAAGTTTTACTCGCTGAATATTCCTCTGGGATCAGTGCTACTACACAGCAGGCAAGCGCTTAAGTCAAGACCCAGTGTCAGAAGAACTAGCAAAATTTTGCACGGAATAGAAATTGATTCTCCGCCACACAAACGTGTGCATGGATTCTAGCAGTTATTTTTAGAAAATTGGATTTAAGAGACCAGAACTTTCTTGTGTTTTACCAGGTGGTGTGCAATTGATCTGTAACAACATGGTGACCAGCACCCGGGCAATTGTGAACACAGCACGCAGCATGGTGTCCACCATCATGAAGTTCTTAGATTCAGGTCCTGGAAAGGCAGCAGATGGCAACCTGAAAGCCAGAGTGATGACGTCAGAGCCAGACAATGCTGAGGGACTCCACAACTTTGCTCCTTTAGGTGCTCTCAGTTACTCACTGTGGTACATCCTATCAGACAATATTTTTACAGCAATAAAACTGTTAAAATTCTAAATGATCTGTTTGTCCCTTCACAGGTACCATCACATCCAGCAGCCCCACAGCGCAGCCAGCAGAGGTTCTCCTCCAAGCCACGCCACCCCACCGCCGGGCCCGCTCGGCTGCCTGGTCCTACATCTTCCTGCCGGAGGAGGCCTGGTGTGACCTCACCATCCACCTTCCTGCTGCTGTGCTGCTGAAGGAGCTCCACATCCAGCCACACCTAGCATCTCTAGCCAGTGAGTGGCACCCTGTTTAATAATGAAAGTGTATGAGAGATAATATAGTTTGGAGTCAGCAAAATCCTTTCTATCTCACTAGAATGAAAACTCATCCCTGTATGTTTTGCTGTGTCCTCTTCCCCCTACCAACCAGCCTGCCCCTCCTCAGTCTCGGTGGAGATCAGCGCTGACGGGGTCAACATGTTGCCACTCTCCACACCGGTCATCACCAGCGGCCTGACGTACATAAAGATCCAGTTGGTTAAGGCGGAGGTTGCGTCAGCTGTTTGCCTGAGGCTGCACCGGCCTCGTGATGCCAGCACCCTGGGTCTATCTCAGATCAAACTCTTGGGGCTGACAGCGTTCGGTAACACCTCCTCTGCAACTGTCAACAACCCCTTCCTGCCTTCTGAGGATCAGGTCTCTAAAACCAGGTACCAGAAACTAATCCTAGAGCGAGAGTATGTCGGTGTGCATAAGATGTGGGTGTTGGCTGTAACCTTTTCTTTCTCCAGCATTGGGTGGCTGCGTCTTCTCCACCATTGCCTGACCCACGTCAGTGACCTTGAGGCCATGATGGCCAGTGCTGCAGCTCCCACTGCCAACCTGCTGCAGACCTGCGCCGCGCTGCTCATGTCTCCTTACTGCGGCATGCACTCACCCAACATCGAAGCTGTGCTGGTTAAGATCGGCCTGCAGTCCACTCGCATAGGTCTTAAACTCATCGACATTCTGCTGAGGAACTGTGCCGCCTCTGGAACCGACCCTGGCAGTGAGTTATAGATCCACAGGACCTTAAAAGCATCAAAAAGTTTCAAATATTACATTTATTTTCTTAAGAGGTCCTTAAATGAGGTTAAGAGACACAAGGGCATATTTCAGATGTTGTTTTGTTGTTAGGTAGTAAAAGTGTTTTTGTATTGCTAGGCCTCAAAAACTATTTTAATATTTGGTTAAGCTTAATTTTACAGGTCTGTTATTTGAGATTGATGTATTGGTACACAATTTAGGGTAAATATAACTGGACATGGTTGAATTGATACATAATTGATTAATTCAATTTTATGACAACGTAAACAAGACTTGAAGTCAGTGCACAGCAAGTCAGCTGAACCGGCATAAATGTGAACGTGAGTTTAAATCAACCCTGTCTCTTAAAGAAATTGGTACTTTCCTCTATACTATATTACCAAAATATAAATAAAACCGTTATTTTCATTAAACAAAATTGGACAACTGGGAAATTATTACTAACCAATAAAATAATAAATATTTTCATGCAGGCTGTGCTTACAAATGATTGCTCATTTCAGTAATTACTTATCAAGAAATTAAGTGAAGCAACACCTGAAAGCAATTCATGTTCATGTACTGGTGGCATTTGCTTTATAGCAAATGGCTTTTGAATTTATTACGTACCAAATCTAGCTGACCCAGGGTACGTTTGAATCTCAGGTTATAGGTAAAGATACAAGTCAGTAGAGTCGTGGTCTAACATTTTTAAGGAACCTAAATCTCCAATGAGCATTTTGTGTCTGTTTGCAACACATGACATACGTATACGTAGATGATTGGCACAGTCAGAATGAGAGAAATGTTCTCACTAGCCACAAATGACCATTTCTGAACCAGGAGCTTGACAAAGTTTTGTTGTGTAAAAATCTGGTCTTTATTGAAGTGTAATTAAGTATCCCCACTCCCCCTAAACAAACCTCTCGGGCGGCTGTGGCTCAGGGGCAGA